TCGGTTTTATGTCTGGTCGCTCAACAACTGGGGCCACTCACCTTCTTCGGCAACTGATGGAGAAGTATAGAGACACTCACAAGGATCTGCATTTGGTGTTCATTGACTTATAAAAGGCTTATGATAGGGTACCTCGAGAAGTTCTTTGGTGGGCCGACATATCACGTAAGTATATCAGCATCATCATGGATATGTATGAGGATTGTACTACAAGTGTCCGTACTAGTTTAGGGAGGACTGCAGAGATCCCTATTACTATCGGAGTCCACCAAGGATCGGCTCTGAGCCCTTTCTTATTTGTCATAGTCATGGATGAACTTACGAAGTCAATTCAAGACGAAGTATCGTGGTGCATGATGTTTGCAGACGATATTGTATTGATTGATGAGACACAATCAGGTCTTAAAGCAAAGTTGGAAGTATGGCGAGAAACATTGGAGAACAAAGGTTTCAGACTAAGTCACAGCAAGACAGGGTACATGGAGTGCAAGTTTGGTGGAGGTAGAAACAGTGGTAACAAATTAAGATACATGTAGATCATATACATAAAAAACAAAACATATGTTAAAGAGTGTGTTAGAGACCACACCCTACCATTGAAGTGCTTGATTTGTTTTCGATGTCACTATCACTCTACCCATGAGTGTTAATATGCTTTCCTTTTTAGCCCATTATTTTTACCAATTTCTAATTCTTTAATAAGTACGATCAGGGCAAGCATAGTTGGGGACATGTTAAGCCCTAACTTACCCTAAAATTCAATTGAAAGAATTGCTAAAATATAACTTCTACAGTTTTGATGGACAAAACTATGACCAATTTAAACCTCGACAAAAAAATTACTATAACTAACTCATCCGCTTCTCCTACATTCAACATTTTTCTCTAGTGCAGCAACTATTCAACCCAACATCTCATCTCCTTCTTCCTCTAGGCTTAACCATTCCATCTCCTTCTTCTAGGCTTCGTCGCCGATGTTCTTCCGTCGTCGTCGCCGCCGTTCTTCCGTCGCCGCCGTTCTTCCGTCGCCACCGTTCTTCCGTCACCGCCGTCTCCCTGCGACAACTCTTCTCCTTCTTGTTTCTTCTTCACTGATACAACCACCGTCATTCACTATCTCCTTCAGCTACAATTGAAACCGACTACTTCTTAGTCGTCCTTGACGGCCGCGCCTCCACGGGAACTATGTGACGGTGCATGATCCGCCTTTCACGATGGATTACGAGTCAATTTGGGGCCGCCAGTTCCGGATTTTCCAACCTCCTTGGACGACGTCTCAGATTTGGCGCAATGGGTGCCGGATCCACCCTCCTCGATGTCGGAGTGGGGCCTGTGGGAACGACAAGGGACATGGGAGGGAGCTGGGGAAAGGGGCTAGAGACTAGCTGGGTAGGGGAGGGGGTTGGGAAAAGGATTAGGCGTCTAGGGGAAGGCGAAGGGGCTGGGGCAAGGCAAGTGTGGTGGTTGTGGACAGGACAGGGGCGACGGCCTTGGACGGGGCATCAGTGGGTGACAGTGGCATCAGATCAAGCGGCAACGACGAAGGCTCCGATGACTGGGGTTGTGGACCGTGGTAATGGTGTAGTGGGGCGGGTGAGGCAGTCACTGGACGGTGGGGCGATGACAGCCATTGGCCAGTGGGGCGTCGACAGTCACTGATCGATGGGGCGGCCCCCAGCGACTGGTCGGAGGTGTAGCCTCAGTCACTGGCTGGAGGACGGTGGCAGTCACAGAGGAGGTGGCAGCGGCAGTCACTGGTCGGAGTCACTATGCTGGAGTCACTATGTCGAAGTCACTTGGTCATTATGCATTGCGGGAATTAATTGTTATATTGATCACATTTTTGGAAATTTTAAAAAGACATCACTTTTTAGTCTATTTCTCTTTTTCATAATTATTATTGTAAAAGATTCGTGGAGAAATTTATTCCAAAAATATTTGTGCAATTCAATATACCTCCCCAATTAAATGTTTGATATTGTCCCTAATAAGGGCGACAAATACAGGACAGTGCAAGAAGCATCACCAGTTAAGGGACCACCAAGGCACCAAGTGAGAACATGAGGTGAATTTGTCAAATACTCCATTCTTTTTTAATTGGGGGGAATGCATTGAACACCTTTCTAGCATTTTAACTTTAGTTTGAAAGAATAGTAGCCTTTCTCAATCCTTATAATGTCCATGCCAATAAACCTTATTAAAACACTTGAAGCGATGTTTGACACATCTATTCAATTAAAACAATTGAAATCTTTTAAATTCAGTCAATTTTATTTAAAATAACTTTGTTTGTTTGAAGATCTGGTTTAATCTGAAATAAATGAACATAACTAATACATTAAGCCTAGATCGTTAGAGCAATTTTGCTGAATTTTTCGGCGCCCGACTGTCTGGTTGTCTGGTGGCAAGCAACGACCCAATGACCTAGACAAACTGGGGCAAAAGCTCCAGCCCTATTAAGATATTTTTGTCCAAGCACAAATAAAAAAACTCTATTTATAGAAGTTTAAACTATTTGGTCATGTTTTCAAAAAGTGGATGAGTTTTACTTCTATTTGACGAACACTATTTATATGATAAATAATTCAGGAGTATTTTAAAACCTTGATATCATAATTTAGATATTTTAGAGCCCGTTTGGTCATCGTATTTTTCGGCTTATCAGGCTTATCAGCCAGCTTTTTCACCAAACACGTAATTTTGGATTTCGTGCGCTGAATTGAGTAATAATAAGAAAAAGTAAGGTTGGAGTTACTTTTCTGGCTGTATTGACTGAAGTTACTGTAGGAAATCATTTTAGCTATTTTTTCATATAATTTTTTCTTTGTTTTATTAATACAATGTATTTTAAATATAATTTTTTCATAAATCAGCAGAATGAGGCAAACCAGCCAATTCAGCTAGAACTTCATAAACTTCAGCAGAATCAGCCAATACAGCCGATTTACGTATGGCCTCTTAGTATATCTACAAGTTTATACATATAGGTAAAAATATTATTTGCTTGAGTAATCAAATAACTTTCATAACGATAAGTAAAGTGTTCCAAAACCATCGTTTGTCCTATCATATGTACAGTTGGAAAATAATATATATCCAAATACTACCTCTGTCCCGCTAAGATGTTCCTAGTTTGACTTACACATATTAAGGAAATAAACTTACCAGGGGTAAAATTTACTGTTTTGAAACTGTTTCGACACTGTTTGACACTGTTTTGCATTGTTTGACATTGTTTTGCACTGTTTTGATGTAGGATAACTTTCCATTTAGGAAAAGAGGAACTTCTTTTTGGGACCGCTAAAAAGGAAAGCAGGAACATCCTAGCGGGACGGAAGAAGTAAAAATCATTCATTTGGTTTTCTTCCATTAAAAAAAACCGTTTTAGAAAAAATATGAAAATCATCATCATTTTCATTTGACGATGATTTTCATATTATTTTTTTAGAAAAAATATGAAAACAATTGTAAAAATTTAAGTTTGTCAAACTTTTTTATGTTTTTGGAATTACTTGTATGATTTACATCTTTTTAAAAGTTTTATACTTTAACTTTATACTTTTAAATTTTCATTTTCTTAAGGTTTTTTATTTTCAGGTTTTTTAAATTATTATATATATTTTTTACTATTTTTGTATTTCTATTGTTACATTTTTTACAATTTATATGTTTTTTAAGAAAACTATAAATTCTCTTAATAGTTCTTTTAAAAAATGACTTGTTATATCAGATGTCAAGATGTTTGAATTAATTGTATTTTCAAAGTAAAAAGTTCCATAAGAATGACTAAATTGCTCACGAAAAGTGAGGTCATAATGGCAGTGTAACCAAGTTCCTGAAAATACTTCCAACTTTCTCTTTTCGTCCGTTCAAAAAAGAACTTCATTTTCCCTTTTTGACAAAGAATTTGTGGTTCACGACATTTCTCTCTCCCATGCATAACTCTCCACCACACAATTCCCACTTTCTTAATCCGCGTGCCACGAAGTAAACTAAGGGACGGAGGTAGTATGTGTTATGGATGCACAATATGCACCTGCAGACTTTGATTTGACCTCCGTAATGATGATCTTGAAAAGGAGGTAGAAGAACAATAACTAAAGAGGTATTTACCCAAATAGGACTAAATCAGTCTTTAATTGCCAAAATAGGACCAAAGTTTACAAATTTCCCAAATAAGAGTTATTATTTGCAACTGGACAAAAGTAACCCCAAACTTGGAAGTCATACTCCCGCAGACCACAATATGGGACAACAGTCATTCGCCGGTCGCCGCCATTCACCGACGGTCGCCGCTAGTCGCCGCCGATCGCCGCCAGTCGCCGCCGGTCGCCGGACATCACCGAAAACCTCAAAAATTGGACGCCGTTGCAGATCTACCAGCCGCCGTTGCAGATCTGGCGGGCGCCGCCGAAGATCTGGCCAGATTTAGCCTCCGACGGCCGTCGGCCGCTGTCCCTTCAGATCCAGCCACCTTGACAACTACTCCGGCATCCGCCGCTACAAAGCTGACATCCACAGTTGCAGATCTACCCGTTTCCGGCGTAAATGCCAATTTTTTTTTATCAGAATGCCATCTTAAAGGCATTTTCAAATAAAAATACAAAAATATTTAAGACTAAAAATGCCATTTTTATGGCATTTTCGGATTTAACTTGGCATTTTGTAATCAAAAAAGAAAAATCAGAGAAGAGAAGCAGATCTACGTAGAAGAAAAATTTATCTACGGCGATGGCAGCGGCGGTGGCCTTCGCGATGGCGGTGGCCTTCACGACGGAGTCAGCAGCGGTGGTGGCCTTCCCGACGGCGGCAGTGATGTGAAGAAGAAGATGATGTGTGCGCAGAAGCTTGTAGGTTCATTGTGGTGGAAAGAGAAGAAGATGATGCGCAGGAGTGTAGCAGAGAGAGAAGAAATAGGCAGGGAAGAAAAGAGTGATGCGCTGGGGATGGGATCGATGCGTGCGCAGACCGGGGGAAATAAAGGGAAGAAAATAAGGGTAGAAGAGTAATTTAGTCCTATTTCGGGAATAAAAATATACATGGTCCTATTTAAGAATTTCAGGAACAATTTAGTCCTATTTGGGGCAATATTTTAACTAAATTACATACTCAAAAATACGATATATCAAATTGAGAAAAGGGAACAGGTAAGATGGAAGACTTTCAGTGAGCATCTTTCTCGGTTATGCTTTCCATATTTCTCAATTCAATTTGTCGCTTTTCAATAGTACTAATCATTCTAGAAAAATCATCTTGGGCAAACGAGACAGTATCTTCTCTGAGGAGGCCCCCCCTATGCTTTATCTTTGATATTGCATGGGAAACTTCTGCAATTGAGGGGCGTCTTCTTGGAGTATTCTTCAAACACTTGTGAGCAATTGCAGCCAGGCTTCTTACTTCTTGTGGGTTATATGTCCCAACAATTTTCTTGTCAACAATCTCATCAATACCATCTGGGCTCATTGTCGCCTTCCGAAGGGCGAAAAATCATGAACAAGCACACAATAATGTGAGAATGAGATTAAGAATAGAAACAGGAAGGTGTTGTCCAAAAATTGTTTTGGAGGATAGTTATCAAAGACATTTCTGAAAGGATGAGTTAAAAACTTACAAGATTGACATATTCCATCAAGTTTTGATGGGGATGAATAGCTGTAATAAGTTCAAAGAGGATGATACCGAAACTATAAATGTCACTTTTTGTTGTAAACTTGTTTGTTGATATATACACAGGATCAATGTAGCCATATGTGCCTTTAAGCCCAGAATTACTTCCATCATATACTTCTTCCTTTGAGAGCCCAAAATCAGCAACCTAATAATATGCAGGAAGCATGCAAAACTCAAAACGGAACAAACTGTCGAACATAATGTTGGAGTCTTTCTTCTCTTTCCAGATTATTTCACTTTAGGTTTTAAACAAAGACAGTTTCTTCCCATTAGTTTAGTGTATTTTTCCCAAAAAGGTGTTAAAATTAAGTTGTGTAAGATGTATTCAATTTAACAACAAATAAGCCTAAGAGTGTGAATAAGCAGGAAGCGTGATTTTCCATAGTTACATTCCCAAGATGAAAAAGTTCTACCTTAACCAAACGTGACTTTAGTTTGTAACAAAAATGGAAAACTGAGTAAAAGTTATTCATTCTCAAGTCTCAACAGATCGGATAAAAAACTGGATTAACAGGGTGATTACATGAATTTTGTATTTCCAGAGTAAGGTTTTTTACTCATTCGAGGCAGTCTTATAGGGCAGAATTTGGCTGTCTACCAACTGACCTTAGCTCTCATAACATGATCTAGCAAAATATTACCAGACTTCAAATCTCGATGTATCACAGGTGGCACGGCCTGTTTACAGTAATAGCATTGAATGATTATACAATGTTTTCAACTCTTATTGAATGAGGCTAAAGAATAAAGAGATATTACCCGAAATAGGACTAAAAGAGTTAGAAAATTCCAAAATAGGACTACCATGTTTTTATTCTCAAAATAGGACTAATTACTGTCATGTTTTGGCAGTACCAGACTTCAAACATGGCAGTATTTTCCAAACTTGGCAGTAATTACTCCTATTTTGGGAATAAAAACTTGACAGTCCTATTTTGGAATTTCCAAACTTTTTTAGTCCTATTTCGGGAACTTTCCCAAGAATAAATCAGTCTACCCCATCATGAAGATATTCAATGCCATGTGAAATATCAAAAGCAATTTGCAGTCTCTCTTCCCAACTCATTGCTCGTTCCTCATCTGAGAGCAAATACAATAGCGTACGCCATTGATCAAGGGTCTAAATACATTAATTTTAAAAATCATTTTTAATACTCAATGATATGTTGACGACCAGAAATCGAACTTTGTAAATTAAGCAACCTCTGAAAAACCTTTTGCAACAGCAAAAATACACCAAATAATAATGCTATATGTTGGAAAGAAACTCCAGGGAGTTACGATCTCAAAGTCAAACATTTTTACTTACTGTGTAAATGGTTCTCCAAACTTCCATTGATCATGAATTCATATATCAACATGTGTTGCCCTTTGTCCACACAATATCCAAGTAAATTCACTAAATTACGGTGATGAAGCCTACCCAAAAGTGTAACCTGTAAAACAATACTTACTCGGTATTATACATCGATCACATAAATGGGTTTTACATCATTTGTCCACAAAACAAATTTGATAGTAAAAATTATCAGGGAAATCCAATTTAGATGTTATGGTTTTCCTTTCTTCCTCATCTGTAAATGTTAATTCCACTTACGAGACTTCTCACATCTAATAAATTTATTTGTGACATTGGGTGATCGTGTGAGTGAGCACTTTCTAAAGGAAATATTCACGATCCCTCCTAGAGTCAGTCTCCTACAAATGAGATTTTAGTAGGAGACTCTGATAGTAAAATTCCTTAACCAGAATAGTGTTAGAGCCCCCCACCCAACAAAGTTAGATCATACCTCTGTCTGGAACTCTCTTTCCCCTTGTCTAGAGTTGGTACCCAGTTTCTTTACAGCAACCACTTCACCATTTGGCAGTGTCGCTTTGTAAACTGGACCAAAAGATCCCTGTCCCAGGATGTTCATAAAGTTTTCAGTCGCTTTCTGAATGTCCCTGGTGATGCACTTGAGATTAGATCAAGCAAACTTTGACCATATGCTCACGTGAAATAGTAGTAAACACAGGAGCATGGCATATAACTTGCAGTTCAACTATGACTCTAACATTACGTATCTTTGGCTTTTAGCACATATGTATGCTCGCATAAGACATTAGACTATTAGAGGCTCAAGCTATTGAGCATGAAGAATGAGAAAGTAGTAGCTGTTTTTACCAGTCTCCAGTATGCTCATAATAATGTTTTATTACTTTATTTGCTTCTAGTTACGCTCCTGGCATGCCTATCCATTTCTGGAGGTTCTATACTCTAATTTAAAACAGAGTGACATTAAAAAAATCTTAAAATTCTCAGCAGTCCCTGAGGTCATGAGGTGTAATAGCAACATACTGTTATGAGCATGACTGAGATCTCGTTTCAGATCTAAGAGAAAAGAACAGGAGAGAGAAAGAACAAAGTAAGCTTAAGGTAGAGTCGTGTAGAAAATTGTGAAGAAAAACAAAAATTAATTCTTCAAAGGCGGTTTATTAATCAATACTGAAGATCTTTATCTGGCCAACCTACATTCACCTTATGTGTCATATTTATATAAAAATTTCCTTTTCTTTGTATAATACATCTCAAATACTTGAAAAAATTGCTCATTGAAAGCACTTCCATCCAATTTCACCCCATTTTGCATTGTATAAACTTTCGTGAGTTTAACTCATGTCACTGTATTTCCTACTTGGCACTTAACCATCCCGTAGTTGCATTTAGTATTACCATCCTCAAAGAACCTACATCATGATATACCATCTTGTATATTCCTAGCCAACTCATCAATAACGGTTGCAAATAGGAATACTAAACAGCACGAACACCAATCCTCCATGATAATGTGATAGAAATGATAAGTAATGATAAAAAGGATCTATAATTAAAAGATATAAATACCGTCAAAGGGGATTAATACTCAGTTTGAGATTACATACTTGTAAGAATATCTTGTTATGCCCGATGCTGAAGTAAACTGATCTTTACGAGGGCGGCTCCACCAGCTATGGTGAGAACCTTTGGGAAGGTATTGTGATCCATTAATGTTTATAGATGCACTAGATTCGTTGCTTGTATCTAAGCCATAAGTACGTATTGGAATAGTTGATTGACATTGCTCATTTGCACGGCGACGGCGGTGGGCCCGCAATTTATACCAACGTATACAAAAGAATGCGAGTGATGCAATAAGAATTCCAGCAGCCACACCAGCTAATACACCAATAAGAACTAATTCACCTTTCTGAACCATTCTTTGACGTTTTTCTCAGGAACATGTGCACTAGCAGCATGATCATCTTGCAGGGCTTAACAGGTGAAACACTGTCAGGACCCCCCCCCCCAATGTTTGTCAGTGTGAAACTTAACAGAATTAATGCTCCATCCAGAAGTCCACAGTCAACATACTATAAGGTACAAAGTTAATCAAAGCACAAACAAAAACATGAGCATCTTATTCAGTTCGAAAATAAATACTCCGCACAAAAAAAAACGGAGTATTAAATTTCCCAATCCTATTGTCCCCCACCCCTCTACCCTACCTTCTCCCTAAAACAAAAATAAAAAATAAAAAAAACAAAGGAACAGTGAACCTCTGCACGCCGTTAATTAATGTATTTTACTCCCTCTGTATCTTAAAGAACTTCCTTCTTTTCTTACGTATACTCCGTATTATTTAAAACAACAAAGTGTCAGCCTTCTCAGAGAAGGCGGGTTACTACATATGCTTTCTATATCTTCTTTTCCTTGTTTTTCAGCATTTAAGCAACAATGACCTTACACCATCAAACAGTGTCAAATTTATGAGAAAGTACAACTCTGCAAAACAAAAGCAGGCTAAGCTTTAAATACTCAACTCGATGAGCATATCATATGATTTCATTGATGAAGTTATTCATAACAACAACAAAAGGAAAGGATATATGTTTAGAGTGCTTCAACATAACTATCGTTATCCGATATAATAATGAAATATCCTCTACATCTCAAACTTGAGAAACCAGCGAAAATTAAACAGAAAAACTAACCGAAGAAATCAAGCAAAAAGAAACAACGAACGAGCACAGTCAGGGAGGATGAACTGCACGTACCTAAGAATCTGACGGAGCAGCTACTTCCATCGAAGCAAAAATCGAAGGAATTTTGCTATCCTCGAACGCAAGAAAGAGCGAGGAATGTTACAGTCAGGTGCTATAATGTTTACTTTTAGGCGGACGCGGTTTGAATTATTCGGGTGGGCTAGAGTACCGGGATTCTTTGCGGAGTCTCCAACACATTAAAGAATTTGTTCGATGATCATTGCCACGTTACAGGAGTGGGTCAACTATGGTGTATTAATGTGTGTGTAGTTGCACCTCCATCCTTGAATAAAGTTTGTATTAACCATCCTTGTTTTTGCAATTAACCACACTTTTTAAACAATTTTGATTTTAAATATTAGGAGGTTTAATTTTTTATTTTAAGTCAGATATATTACTGAATTAAAAGTTATAATAATACATAGTGAAAACTGTCAAATAGGTCCTCGAATTCGAAGATCTATTTGACAGTTTCCCTAATTATTATGCACACTTCATATGGTATTGAGTTGAACACATTCATTAAACCATTAAAGTTTAATCACTAAACTAAAAAAATCGCATTTTTTGTCGATTATCTTAATTTTAGTCATACATTTGTCATAATTTCTTTAGATCACGTATAGAAAAGTGGATATGTAGGCAACTTCTTATGAATATCACTAAAAATACAAAAGAAAAAAATGACTTACTTAAAGTGACAAATCATTACACAATGTCTTTTTCAATGTTACATTTATTTTTTTGATAACTCAATTTTATGATTAACAATTAATAATTAATAACTAACAATAATTAATAATTAATCGATGTCGCTCGATCACCTCCACTACCATACTGTCACCCAAATAAACATTCATCCACATTTATTTGAACCAAATACTTTTCTTCTGACAAAGTGTGTTGTGATCATTATATAGTTATTGTGGGATAATCACATTATAATTGTATGTGTAATAATTATGCAACATCAATAACAATAATTACTCAGTATTAGGTATTCCGTATTTGTTTTTGGTCATTGTTACAATCCTTGATTCAAACATTTAAGAATAGTTTACAAATTCGTGAATTGGTAATTGTGTGCAAGTTTTTCTTAAACTTGTTTCAGTTCTAAATCAGAGCAGATTATACCAGACTTAGAGAGATCAAATCATACCGAACTTGTTAGGAGTCAAGCAGAATGTGGTTGCTTCTGCTAGAAAGCAGAAATGTGGTCTTGACTGGATTTTAGAGATAAGCTTGGGGGATTTATCATAGGTGCAGCCTTGCCATGGATCAAGAATTTACCCCCTTTATTGAGCTACATGGTATTAGGTAGGATTGTTGATTGAAGAAATTATAGAGATTAGTTTTGAGTTTTTTTAAGTACTTCTTTCTCTCATGTTAGGGTTAGGCGATCTGTAAGCACAACAACTCATTACTCATGAGTTTGCTAAGTTTGTTGTTTCAATATCTGATTGTCGGATTTGGTTAGATATCGTTGTTGATGTATTGATTGAACTATGATTTTTATTAATGATAATTAAATTTTTATTTCTAAAAATATAAAACAATGTGGGTGGAGTAGAAGAATAAAATAACGGTAGAGAATGGAAGAAAAAAAGATCAATGACCTCAAATCCCACCTAAAACAAACGAGTTTTATATGTATAAAAAAAAGTACTAGTATGATATAGCAAAAAATAAAACTTGTAGAGAAAATAGAACACAAACTTGTACTCGCTCCAAGGCGGCGGGCGGTTTAGCAGGGGGCATACCATCAATACAACATCTTCCTTATTCGTCTCGCCATCCCTTCCCGTCCCCAACAACTTCATGTCCCTTGCATGAAAGCCTGAAGAAGCTAAACAAAAACAGACAATAACGACTTTGCGCTCCAAAACCTTAGCGCACCCTTCGGCCGCAAAGTAGATAAATAATGTAAAAATATAAAATATTTTTTAATAGAAATTTGACAAAATGAAATCGAATCCAAACTTTAATTGAATACATTAAAATTAAAAAAAGAAAGCGGCAACTCCTTTGTTCTTACCGTGGAGAGAATGTTATAGTTAAGACATAATGTCGGAAGAGTATTGTGGTTGACAGTGTCGATTTGGCTGATTTATCTGCAGACATGAGAACTTTTCCGGCCACATGCCCAACAGAGAGTCCTTAACCAGTCGTACAAACCACGTCGTCATTAACGTGGCATTAAATCACACGTGCTCCTTCCCTGTATCAACGCCGCAAATCCCTCCCTCCACCGACTTTCTTCTCCGTTCAAACTTCAAACCCCACCCGGTACACACACTACTGTGTGTATGGTTCATCTTTTTCCTGCTAATAATAAAGACACCATAATGATTATCCTTATTTTAATCCAAAGATCAACCCATCCCGAAAAAATGTTTAATTTATTCCTCATCAATTGAGATGGACCCTAAATCGCTTTAAATTCGAAATCCATCTCCGTATCAATCAAAATCAAAATATATATATATACAATAAAGGGGGATATTTTATCCAGCTATGCATCTCCAAATCTGTTAATGTATATATTGTTAAGGGCGTTAATGTAGATACGAGTGTATATATTGTTATACATATCTTTGTAGATAGATTTGCTGGGGGGAGATATGGGGGCGATGGCGTCATCAATGGCGGCAAAGTTTGCATTTTTTCCGCCGGATCCGCCGGCGTACGGGCTGGCGGTGGACGAGTCGACCAAGAAATTGAAGATGACGGGGGTGACGGAGAGGGAGAACGTGGATGTTTTGAAGCTTGCGACCCAGAGAGGGACGGAAATAGTGGCGGTGTACGTGAAGAACCCGGCGGCGAAGCTAACGCTGCTCTACTCCCACGGAAACGCCGCTGACGTTGGCCAAATGTACGATTTGTTCTGCGAACTTAGCCGTCATCTTCGCGTCAATGTGATGGGGTACATTGAATCTCTGAATATTTATCATTTTTCTTGTTCAGTGATTTAGGGTTTTGGATGGTTAGGTTAGCCTGGGTGTTGGATCAAACTGAAAGTTGAGCTTTTTTTTGTTATATTTCATCCTAAGGGCTCAATTCTGCTGCTTTTTGTTCTGATGATGATGATGATTATGAATTAATGATGATTGAGTTTACTGGATACAGCTTAGCTGTGCAGATTCAGAAATGAACTGTTGCTGCTATTAGATTTGTTTAAGAATCTAACATCAGATTAAGATTTATTTTAGTATGATCCAAGAGCAACTGAGTATTAATCTGAAGTTTGAATTCTTGTTCATTCTTGGTTCCCTATGTAGGTATGACTACACTGGGTATGGAATGTCCAATGGCAAGGTAATGTTAGAAGAAAAGAAATACCTCCATGTGGGCATTCATGATGCTTGAAGTTAAGGTACTAAAGGATGATTCATTTTTCTTCTTCTATAGGCGAGCGAGCAGAACACTTATGCTGACATTGATGCAGCATACAAATGCCTATGTGAGAGATATGGGGCGAAAGAAGAAGACATAATATTATATGGTCAGTCTGTTGGCAGTGGACCGACTCTAGATCTCGCATCGCGTTTGTCAAGATTAAGAGCTGTGGTTTTGCACAGCCCTATATTGTCTGGCCTCCGAGTGATGTATCCTGTGAAGAGGACATATTGGTTTGACATATATAAGGTTCCTTAATCTTCTCTTTTACTCATGGAATTATGTGAGGTCTGTTCAAAAAACTGCGAGATCCGATCGAAAAATGATATGGTTCATAAGCTAATGGTTTTAATTTTTCGGTGTGATGCAGAATATTGATAAGATTTCATTGGTTGATTGCCCTGTCCTTGTAATACATGTGAGCCTCTGTACTTGTTGAACATATTTCCATGTTTCAAGTTTCATATAGACATATACAGCTATTTAATCAAGAGATGTATTCTCATCTCCAATTTATGATATTTTGTACTGCCATTGTGGTGGATTTCAGAATTTCTGATATATCTTATATTTCTAGCAAAACTTCCGTATTTTGAGGTCTCCTATAATGGTATGAGGGAACCCCATAGAAAACTCGGAGAATGTAAAGCAATGTTGACAAATACTTGGTACATTTTTGAGAAATATATGGAAGTACCTAAAGATATATGTGGAATATTGATAATCTCTATATGTCTCTTTATAAAACCAGAAATATTGATAATCTCATTATCTTTTACAATAAAGTATTTCTTGAAATGTAAAGTAACATTGAAGTACAGTTTTCTAATACTTTCCGATATCGATATCGTCTTGAAATGATATCCCAATTGGCCAATCTCAATTGCATGTTCTTTCCCAATCTTAATGACAAAACTTATCCACTAGCATGTACTTTTTGCTACTTTCAGGGGACAGCAGATGATGTGGTGGACTTCTCTCATGGAAAGAAGCTTTGGGAACTTTGTAAGCAAAAATATGAACCGCTATGGGTTAAAGGTGGAAACCATTGCGACTTGGAAGTCTACCCAGAATACATTAAACATTTGAAGAGGTTCGTGTCAGCTATAGAGAGATCATCACATTTGCAAAATGTATCACCATGCATGGACTCATCTGAAGATAATCAAAGAAACAGCACAGATTGTAGGCCCAGATCCAGCACTGATAAGAAAGAAAAGAAGGAGAAGCCAAGAAGAAGCATCGGCTCAAGAGAAAAACCAAGAAGCAGCATTGACAAGAAAGAAAGAATGGGTAGGAGTTTGGATCAAGCTGAGAAGACAAATTGCAACACAGAACCACAGGAAAAAGCAAGAAAGAGCTTTGACCGGTCGGATTAAACTTATCTGGTTAAGATTATTTTATATATCTGCCACTATTGTGTTTATATGCACTTCATGATGTGTTCTGCTTTTAAAGTAACTAACCATGGAAATTTAATGATGACAGCTTTGGTGAGATGATGAAATCAGCCGTATTATGCAATATCGATTGCTTCAAGCCAACAGGAGCAAATGTCCCTAAATAGAGAAGAGATGGAAAGAAAGGTATGTCTTTTTAAAGGCTTCATCTGCTTACTCTAAAACATCTGTATGCCGATCCATTTCCATTTTGAGAAAAAAGTGCGTGTTTCTGAGTATTCTTTATAATTTCTGAATTAATTTATGCCTCTTTATATACCCCCTCTGTCCCATAATCGTGTTTTCGCTTTGACCAGAAACATATACTTCCTCCGTTTTTAAATAAGTGCAACAGTCAACATTTTACACTTGCCGAGACACAACTTTAACCATTAATATATATAATTCTCTATCAGTAAAAA